CAGGTTAATCCAGTTTGTTCTGTTTGTGGGGTAGGGGGTATCCCAAGGCTATGAAGCAGGTTCTGAATTCTATCGCACAAGAATACTTTCAGGGCCTGGCCCCACAGAGCACTCAGGGAACTGCTGCTCCTGGGAGGTGAGGGGAAGCCAGCTCAGGGGCCCCTCAGCAGGAAGCTGCTCTAGTACAAGTCTGTGGGTGCCGGACAAAGGGAAGACGGATGGAATCCAGTCAGTCACTCTCTAAGGCTGCACTGGCCAGCCACGCTTACCCACCAGATGTCTTATCCCTGTAGCATTCCAACTCCGGAGGCCTCACAAGGTCCGTGATCTCAAAGTCCATCAAATACTACTCCCCACCATGAGTCCTCCTCCATGGCACCTCCTGTCCTCTCACCACCACCACCACACACACACACACACACACACACACACACACACACACGTGTTCTAGCCTTGCAAAGCCAAAAGCCAAGGGCCCAAATCTTAGTCTGACCCTGACTGGTGTTTGGACAGACTTCAGGGTCTACAGAGCAGAGTTTCTCATACTTTATTGGGCCTACTGTCCCCTTCTCAGAAAGAGAAAGCAAAATCTCTCAGCATCACCCTAGAAATACATCTTCTCTAATGCCAGTGGACAGCATCCACCCACCCCCAAGCTGTATCAAAGGTTATTATTCCTCCCTTGGATCATTCCAGTCCTCTGGTGAGGGGCGTGGGTGGTATTGTCCACTTTGGGACACTCTAGTCTAGACGTTTCACTCAGGCAAACATTCTAAAACATTCTATCAGTTGAAGCCAGTGTCCTTTGATGGCTGTAAGTTCAAAGAAACAAAGAGGAAACAAGCAGGACTAGAGAGATAGTACAGTGGGTAGGGAGCTTGCTGACAGAGGTTTGATCCTATGGCCCCCTGAGGCCCACCAGGAATAAGCCCTGAGCACCACCAGGTGTGGCCTCAAAAGTGAGAAAGAAAGAGAGAGAAAGAGAGAAAGAGAGAGGGAATAAGCTCAACGACACTTTGTGAAGCTCCAACACTCCCATTACCTAGTTCCCATAAACTCATGACGTGCCAGTCATTTGCAACAGGCAAGGTACCCACTACTGCCCCTTCTTACAAGAATGCTTCAGAGTAAGCAACATACCCTTCTCGGGAATACAGGAATCAGGCCAGCTAACAGTGGGAGCCGCACGGTCTGCCCTTGGATCTGTGTGATCCCAAAGCATGCTTTTCCATCAAGAGAGCCAGGAGTGGGAAGCGAGAGCTCCCAGATGAGGGAAGGTCAGCTGCAGCTCTTCCACCACCGACCAGGAGGGGAGGACTTCTCTGAGGCTAGCCTGAGGGATCTGATCTGAAGGCCAGCATGCGGCCTGTCCCCAGGCACCCAAGTCAGGCTGGAGCAGAGAATCGGAAGGTGCTGGCCCCAGCCCTGATTGGATGCGTCAGGCCAGACCCCGGGTAATTAACACACTGGAATAGGATCTGATATTTATATTAGTCATGAACCTGACAGAGAAAATGTGTTGTTTTCTCAGACACAGCCATGGAGACAATACCTCGGCAATTCATCACCGAGGCAGACCAGCCTCGGTCCGGCCCAAACCTCTACAAGGGATGCCAGCTCAGAATGAGAGCCAGAAGGAGTGCAGGCCTGGCCAAACGCAGGCCCCCTTGTAAGCCACTGCTCCAGAGGAAGTTGCCTCACTTTCCCCAGAGAGAGCAACGGAAGAAGAGCAGCAGAGAGACTGGAAGACACCTAAGAGGAAATGATGGTGGGTCACCAACTCCAGCCTGCATTTTTGCACCCTTGCCCTGGCATTCCTTGACTCCTTCCACTCAACTACATGAATCCCGGGGTATGAAGGAGTGTCAACGCCCACAGACATTGCCCCTCACAGTGTAAACACAGGGAGAGACTTCTTCAAGGTCACTGCCTTCCTCAGCCTGCAAGAGCAGCTTCCTACACACCCCCGCCGAGAAAAATGTCACTGGTGAAGTGAAGAGAGACCTGGGATGAGCCCCCGGGATGGAAAAATAACAGCGACATGAAACCATCCGTTCCTGAACACACACAGCCCTGGGATCAAAGGACCCAACAGGGAACACAGGAACAGTTTTCTCCTGAATTTTCTAAAATCCCCACAGGCCCTCTCCCCAAATCAAAAAGCCATTCCCCGTTTGAAATGCAGGCACTGAGGAAGGGGTCCCCCAGGGGTGTGCTAATAGTACCAGGATCCTTTGATCAGAAGGACAGAGCTGTGTGAGGCTTCTAAGTCCAGGGGTCTCTGCTGAAACCTGTCTCCTGCACACTGTTGGATGCTCGACAGACTCACGATCCTCTGGACCTCATCGCTGGGCCAGACCAGCATCAGGATGTGAGCAAGAAGAAGGCATCGCATCGGTGGAATTCTGGAGGAAAGCAGCCTGGATTTGCTTGAGGAAACTAGCAAAGATTCTGAATTGAAGCCCAAATCACTCCTCTGTAGAGAAGCTCAACGGACCACCAAATACTTGCAAGTCAAAGAGAAAGAGGGCTAGAAAGGAATGAACGCTCAGAAAACAGACCTGGGGGCAGAAAGAGAAGCACAGAAAAGGCCTAAGTTATTCTAATTGGGTATAATAGGCAGGCTGCACAGGGTTGGTGGAGCGGACAAGGGGCCGAGTCAGAGTTCCTGGGCACCTCTCTAAATGAACTGTGGCAATATGAAAAGTGACCTGATCTTAATCTACACTGGCATCACATCATCAATCAAATGTCATCATCGCTCATGCCAGGATGGATCCTTGTAGAAACTTCCAGTCTCATCAACTCAACAGGACTTGGAGCTACAAAAGAGAACCAACCAATGATTTAGGGGTTCTTTACGCCCTCTCCCCATGATTACTGCCAAAACTCAGTTTTCTTGAGAAAAACTCAAAGCAGTCACACTTGGTGGTTATTTAGGAAGCAGACGCTTTATGTGAATATTCGACCACAGGGACGCCACAGGACAAAGAATATGACAAGGAAAAGTAGAAGCCATGTTTAAAACCCCAGGATCACAAAAACACTAACGTTTCTCCTTTTTTGGTGGTGGGGAGGTGCAGGAGATTAGGAAGGTGGGTATACCCAGCTATGTTCTACTCCTGGCTCTATGTTCTACTCTCAGGAATTCTCCCGGCAGGCTTAAGGGATCATATGGAGCATCAGGGATGGAACCCAGGTGGGCTCCGTGCAAGGCAAACACCCGACCCATTGTACTATCACTCCAGCCCAAGCCCACCAACATTTCTTTGGACTCATTGAGAAAAACTGAAAATAAAAACCATGATGGAATGATGGACACTACCTGGAGGAAAGTCGGCTGACAAAAAAAAAATTTTTTTTAAATCAACACAAATCGGAACATTTTGGAAGCACTCAACTAAGAATTCTCTCTCCCCTAAAGGCCAGCCACTGAGTATCCGGAAAAGAAAAAGCTCTAGTATGGAGGCGGGAGGTGGGAGCAGAGCCCGGGAACCCACCGCGAGCGCCTGTTTCACGCAGGGACCGGCAAAGGCAAAGAGTGCTCTCGGGGCCCTCCAGCTCAGCGGTCCCCAAAGAGGGCTGCTGGGGACCCTGGCAGGGCGCACACCTCCACAGGGAAGGGGCGACCGCGGGCTGAGAAGGGAACTTAAGGAAGTCCACAGCGAAACGCCTGGTCCCACGCGAAGGCCCCACCCCACCCGGGGCAAGGGAAGCGAGCACTGGATTTTCTTTTGCTCTCATTTCCAACACACCAGTATTTTCCAAAACACCAACGTGTCCGCCACGAAACCCAGCTGAGCTCCGGCACCCCGCGCGATGTATAATTAACGACCGGGAGCGGAGCGAGCGCGCCCCGGAGCCCCAGTGCTGGGCGCCGGCCTTGGCCAGCCCCGCGCCTCCCCTCGCCCCGCGCCCCCAGGACGCTGCTGCACCAAGTCGAATTAACTTGACTTCTCCAGGTGGGGCCTGGCCGCGAAGCTCGCCCTCAGCCTCCTCCGACGGAAAGTGCTCCCTTTCACCTTCCCTCCCCACCGCACCCCCAATCCGGCCCTCGGAAGTCCCCTAAGTGAGGAATTACTCCAAAAGAGCCACGGGCTCGCTCACTCTGGCCGGCAGCCCTTTCCTTCTCACCCTGCAGTTTCCCCGTGAAAAACCGCCCCCACCCTCTCCTCGAGCCGGCGGGCGGAGTGGGGGGCAGAGAGCCGGGCGCAGGCCCCCACGGGCTAGGCCCGCAGCATCCCTGGCGAAGGTGTGCGGGGCCGCGCTGAGGGTGGGCGTCTGCGCCAGGAATAGCCGAGCCGAGCAGCTGCCCCGGCAGCGCCGCAGCGGGAAGGAGGCGGCCCCGGCCCGCGCTGCGGGTGGCGTTTCCCCGGGGCCGAGAGCGCGTGGCCGGGACGGGGAACACAGAGGCCCACGCGGGCTTGGGGCGGCGGGGCGTCCCCCCAGGGCCGGGGAGGTGACATCACGCGTGCGACCTCAGCTCGGCACATTCCTGAAGTGGCCGCCTCCGTGCACTCCCTCCCGACCCGGGGGACCGCTCCCCAACTTTCCCTGCGCCCCTCCCCGAGCCCCCACCCCGGGGCTCCCCGCTCCCTCCGCACCGAGGCCACCCCCGGGATCTCCGCCCGAGCCCCCAAAGCGCTGCCCTTCCTTCCGAGTGCCCCTCCACCAACTCAGTCCCAACAGGTTTCCCAAGTGCGGGCTCGCGTGCGCCCCTGCGCCCACCGGGCCGGGCGCGCGGCGGGCAGGTGTGCGGGGCGGCACGCGCCCCCGGCGGCCCCGCAGCGCTCGCGGCCCGCGGGACGGGCCCGCACCGGCTCCCGGCGCCCCGGCCGCGGCCGCCGGCGCCGCGGTAAACAAGGGCCGGGGTCGGGCGGCCGCGGGCGGCTCCCCGGCCGGCGCGGGGCCCGCGGGGGCTGCGGCGGGGCGCGGGCGGCCGGCGGGGCCGCGGGCGCGGGGGGCGGGCGGGCGGGCGCCCGGGGCGCGCGTGTCGTTACCTTCGTCTTGCCCCCGCAGTGGCAGCAAACGGTCCACAGGTACTTGAGCGTCCGCCAGAGCAGGATGATGAAGAGGCCCCCGAAGAAAGTCACCATGGACGAGGCCAGGAAAGCCCACCACATGCGCTGGCCCCGGCTGTCGCACGGCACCTCCATGGTCACCGGGATGATGAGCGCATCCATCTTGGGCTCGTGGACCGCGGCCGAGGAGGAAGAGGAGGAGGAGGAGGAGGCCGAGGAGGAGGAGGAGGAGGAGGAGGAGGACGCGTCTAGGCTGAGGTGGTGCGCGCGGATGTGGCTGCTCATCCTCAGGCCGCCGCCGCCACCATTTGCCATGGCTAGGCGCGCGCGGCGGGCGCGGGGGCTCGGGGGAGCTCCTCCCGCCGGCGCCAGCGCCCGCGCCCAGCCATGTTGCCGCCGCCGCCGCCGCGCGGGGCGGGCGCGGGGCTGTCGCGGCTGTGCGCGGCCCCCGCCCCCCGCCGCGGCCTCCGCGCCCCGCGCCCGCGCCCGCCCCGCGCGCCTCCCCCGCCGCCGCCGCCGCCGCCGCCGGCGCCCCCCGCGTCCCCGCCGCCGCCGCCGCGCGCGCCCCGCGCTCCCCGAACGCCGCCGCCGCCGCCGCTGCCCGAGCGGCCGCCGGGCGGCACCGGCGGAGGCGGCGCGGGGCGCGCAGGCCCCGGGAGGGGGGACCCCCGGGCCCCGCGACCCGGCCCCCCGCTCCCCCGGCGGGCGGGAGTCGAGCGTCCGAGGCCGGGCGCGGGACCCGGGCGCCGCTCGGGCAGGGGCTGTGACCCCCCGCGGGCGCCCTGGGCCGGTAGAGCGGGGGAGACCCCCCACCCCCCCGTGGGGACCGTCCCCGTGGGGACACACGCCTCCAGAGAGGAGGAGAGGGGGACCCTCTGTGTGGGGGCGCGCCCTGCGTGGACCCCTACCGGTGGGCGCCCACGCCCCCCTTGCTAGCGACCTGGCTTGGCCAGGGGGACGTGGGGCGGGCGAGCCACAGGTGGCCCTTGGCCGGCCGGCTAGAAGCAGAGATGAGGGACAGGAGGTGCCCTGGTGCCAGAGCCCAGGCCACTCAGTTCGCTGCCCCCTCCACCGCGTCAGAGGGTGCCTGGAAGAGGGGGATCCCCAGCTTCCCTTCAAGTCCACTCGGGGGGCTTCTCCCTCCTGCTCGGGGGAGGGGGCTGGGTTTGGGCAACAGCCCGCGGGAACACTCCGATCTCAGAGCCTCGGAAATGCTGCCCTGGACGGCCGCTTTCCCCTGCTCAGGGCGGGGACGCCCATTTCTCCAGGGCTAATTAAAAGGAAGATCATCGCGCGCTCCCTCCTTGCCCACAGAGGTTTCCCCAAAGTTTCCAGCTCATTAGTTTAAGCCTAATTGGAATTCTCTCCTTCCTCTCAGGTCTTCCTGTGCTACCGGCCACCTTAGCAACCAGCAGGCGGAGCAACAGGTGCCCCCCTGGCCCGCGGAGGCCTTCGGGTGCAGGGAGGACCGCGGAGCAGAGGCTGAAGGAGGATTTTGAGGCCTCCCTTGCTCCAGCCGGACACATCCACTGGGCTCAGGACACACCCATTAGGCGAAGTGGTAAGGCCGGGATAGCAGGAACGTTGCCAAGTCAGAGGTCTTGAGTGGTTGGTACTCAGATAGCAAAGCATAGATAGTACTTTCCAGAAGGCAAAATCGCCTTTGGACAACACCTCCAGACTCGTCCTCCACACTGTGGCCACTCGGAACATGTCGTGGTCCTGCGCATGGAAAGGCCCTGAGTCCTTGCCAGGTCTGGGCTGGGGAACTCGGGCCCAGAGGGCTTTTGGAATGTGCAAGAAGGTAATTGTGGCCCAAGATTGCTTTGCTTACGGGCCTTCTCAATAGCTGTTCTTGCTGCCACAGCCTAGGACAAGGACACTCGATTCTGCTTAAATCGAGTCCAAGATTTTACATTTAAAAACAAAGCGCAGAGGCCAGAGAGCTGGTAAGTAGAGGGTTACAGTGTTTACCTTCAACGCAGCAGACTCCAATTCTGCCCCAGCCCCATACATGGTCCCCTCAGACACCAACCAAAAGATAATAATACAAAACAAAAACAAAGCACAAGCAACCCAAAAAAAGTGGTGATGGCTAGGACTGTGTCCCCAGTGAGACATGAAGCCTCCAGGATGAACTCCTGCATGCACAAAATTGAACTTCCCCAAAATAATGAACCCCCACTGTCCCAGGCTTTCCCATGTATCCCCCACAGCTCCTCTTGAAAGCCAGCTGGGGTACGATTAACTGAAGGCACTGGTTTCTGTGACTTCTCTCGGCCAGCTGTGTTTCTGTCACCACCTTTTTCATCTCAACCACCTCAATAGGGGGGTCACAGACCCCCCAAACATACCCTCTACCCCAGCTCTTCTGGTTCTGCCTTTAGCAGGGTCCGTGTTACTCCAATCCCAGGCTCTACTGGGACTCACTGCAGACTTCCGCTGCCAAAGAATCACCATCGAACAATTACTGGTGCCTCCCTGTTCCCAGGGTGGCCGATGGGTGGGTTGGCACTCACAGGGTTTTGCCTGGCTCTGCCCCTCCAGGAAGAGAGAGGGATGGAGTCTGCAGCTCCCAAGAAGCCTTCTCTACTTTTCATGCATTCCTTGTGCTTCCTCATTTGCAAATTGGACTTGAGACAGGAACTCCCTGCCCACCTCAAAGGGTTATTTGTGAGAAAGAAAAGGAACATTTACAGGTCTTGGTTATGACTTCTCAGAACCGCCCCGCCCCCCTAGCCCCAGCAGACAACCAAACCAGAATCAGAACCAGACCTTCTCTCTACTACAGTCTGGGTGCCTTGGACTGCCCTGGCCACGCACGCCAGCCCGTCCAGGGAGAAGGGGCGCCATGCACGGGTGTCTGGCATACTCAGTCTGTGCCAGAAAGAAATAAATGCAGCAGAATATTTGCTCCTGTCCCCACAGTGTGCTCTGCACCTCGCCAAACCACTCCGTTGATGTAAGAAACCAAGAAATTGAAGCAAGTGCCCCTCTCCGCACCCCACCCCCATACTATCCCACCATAAACACACACCCAGCAGATGTGGACAAGCTCCCAGGCCAGCAGGAGTAACTTGCTGGGTTCTAGCTCTCGTCCCCACCCACCACCTTCCCATTCCCAGGACGGCCTGGAAACGCAGTGCAGAGAGAAACATAACAGACCCCAGTGTGTCCACCCCGAGCCCACCTGTCCACAGGCGGGGACCAAGGCCAGTGACCTAAGAACGAAAAGCCTAAACAAAAGTCACAACCCTCAACCTCCTCCCTCCTGCAAATACGGGCCATACATTTCCTTCCAGAAGCATCTGGAGAGGAGCACAGCCTCTCTATCACTGGGACAGGAGCCCAAGGAACTCTGGGAGCAAACCGGGGTTTCATGTCTAAACTCCTCTAAGCTAAACAGTCCTAAGGAAGTAAGTGAAGGCACAAGAACATTCCAACTAAAAAAGCAGAGTAATTAAAGTAAGAGCCAAGGAGAACAAAGAGACTTATTTACTTAAGCATTGGCTGAACATCATTTTAACATACACAACTTTGTCTCTTTTGAAGCGGATTTTGCAGATGAAGAAGCTGGTTGTAAGTGATCTAGCGCCTTCTGGTGGCACTTTCTGGCACTGACACTAGTCTGTGAACCTGGGTGCAAGATTTCTATTTAAAATAGAAATTCGAGATAAAAAGGAAAGTCTGTGCGAAATTGCAGCCACAGCCACATGAGCAATCCAGCTGCCGGTCCTACCAGAATATGAGCTGTGTGATAAGGTACCAATGAGGTTTCTATGATGACCATGATTTCTTTATATCAACACTTTTAAGCCAGCCTTCAACTTTTTCCACTTGCCTGAGAAATTTTTATGTGACTCTGGGTATATAGGTGCAGAAAATTGGTACACAAGGGCCCTATGTGTGATTCAGCTGCCTTGCATTCATGAGGGCTGGGTTTGTTCCTTGGCACAACGCAAAAGGAAAGAGAATAATTTTGCCCTTGAGCTGTGAGTATCTATTCCCCACACCACGTGGTTCCCTGGAAGGACCCAGCGCTGCCCTGTATGGGCCCTGGAAGCCTCTGGGGCGCTGAGATGACCAGGGAATCTTCAGCAGTGCGGGCAGAAGCAAAGTTACACCTGTGAGCCTCCTGAGCCCCCTTCCCCGGGAACTCGGGACCCTCCCCTGTAATAAGAAGTTGGGGGGGGGGGGGTTGTCTGTGGGGAGGTTTGGGGTTTTTTGCTTGTTTGATTTGGTTTTTTGGTTTGAGGGACACACCTGGCTGTGCTCAGGGCTTACTCCCGACTCTAGCTCAGAGCACAGGGACCACTCCTGGGGGGATAGAGGTGGGGTAGGCAGTGGGGAGGTATATGGGCTCCCAGGGATCGAACCTAGGTTGACGGTGAGCCCAGCCTTCCCCACTGTGCTGTGGCTGTGTCCTAGCAGCTAGGTTTTAAACTCTAGCTGCCATTAGAAACCCACCGCTCTCTAGATGTCCACTATGTCCAGCCTGACACTGGCCCTTCTTTACAGTCTCTAGTGTCAGGAAGAAGCTATGCTCCCACTTTGCAGGTGAAAAAACTGAGCCTTAGAGCCTGACTCTAGCAAGGGGAGCTACGGCATCAGGGCAACAGATCTCTGTTCTCTGGATGTAGGGGAGCCCTGGGACCATCTCTTAATGTCAGGGGCATTAAGAAGAGTTGGGGCAGGCCCCCAGGAATGCAGACAGACCAAGTTTCAGTCACATATCTACTTCATATTTGGATTTATAAAGAATCTAGATAATGGTGGGTTTATGAAGTAACATAAAAATCACCTAGACTCCTACCACTGACAGTCATCATTATCATGTTTACATACTTCTTTCATATTTTGTATAATGTATGTTTCCAGATTAGGATTAGATTGATCATGTAATTATTTTATGTTTTATTTTTATTATGTTTCACCAATTGAGGTTCTGTGACTTGCAATGCTGTTCATGATAGTTTCCTATACACTTAACTCCAACACCACTCCCATCACCAGTGCACCCACCTCCGTGCCCCCAAGAATCCCAACAACTCCCTTTCATCACTCCCCAACAACTCAGCCATTGGATCAGTTCTCGCGTTGTGTTGCCTTTTTGGCCCTTGGTTGCTACTTTCCCGTATACCTCTCAGGGCCACACAGGAGAGAGCTCGGTCTGTGTCTGTCCCTGTCCTTCCTACTGACTTCACTCAGCATGACATCCTCCAGTTCCATCACTGTTGCTGAAAACTGCATGACATTTTTTTGGCTTTTTGGGTCACATCTGGCGATGCACAGGGGTTACTCCTGGCTATGTGCTCAGGAATTATTGCTGGCGGTGCTCAGGGAACCATATGGGATGCTGGGAATCGAACCCAGGTTGGCCGTGTGCAAGGCAAACGCCCTATCGGCTGTGCTGTTGCTCCAGCCCCAACTGCATGA